TGTCAGTGAGGAAGAAAAGCTCCATAACTCCGTTCAGAGAATCGTTCTGCAAATTTCGAAGGCAGATTTGAGATCAGCGTCCACAACCACGTCTCGTGAGCTATGCCTTATTAGAAAAGGCCGCTTAGACCTGGCTGGTAACCATCCCTAGTAAGTGAAAAAGACTAAGTTCAATCATAGGAAAGCTGAGTCATTCAGTGATTCAGTCACTCAGCATTCCTGTGATAGCTTTCCGATCGCGTACTGCGGCTTAAACAGCAGTTATCAAAATAACAGCTAAGTTCAATGGAAATCGACATTACCGGAATGTTTCGTCACAGCGTCGACACTTCAAGGGCTTCTCGCCACTATGAATTCTCAGATGTACAGCCAGCGCACTTTTGGAGAAAAACTCCTGAAAGCATATTTCTATATGGAATTCTAACACCCTTGAGTAGATTTTTGTGTAATTGTAAGACTCACCGAGCCGCATACGGTACACGGATGCTCGGCCTGCAGTCTCGAATGAGTCCGTTCATGGGCATACAACGCACTCGCAACACGAAAACTTCTCTGACATGTGTTGCACACATATGGTCTCTCTCCTGAAATAGCAATTCTACTGGATTCACAACCATTCGAGGCTCTAAAAAATTTGTAAGTACCACAAGACCCGAGCAGAAGACGAGGAAATATGCCTGGGCCGTCATTGTTAGCTTTAAGGTGCATGAAACAAAAAATAAGGCCCTAGAACATGTCAAGCATATACTTCTCTTAACAGGACAGGCCACAGGACGAGCAACACTCACATCGACACCACGAAGGCTTCACAACCACTCTCTCGAGGCCGACGTATATAAAGTATTGTAGTGACGACTAGTGCCGCTTACCACTCATACGGTACGGATCGGCTCCCGCCAAGGCCACCTAAACCCCGAGCTTTTTGGGGTCGGGTATTCATTGTTAGTACCAGACCTCTGTAGGAGAATAAAACTACTGAAATGTGCATGAGTAGACCTCAGCGAGCCAAGTAGGCCAAGCAGCATTCAAAAAAGTCATAACAATTCCGGTCGAAGTCGGAATGGAATGGAAAACACAGGTCAGTTTGTGCTAGACTTACAGGAAAGATCCCGCAACTCATTTTGGCTCGAATGGTAATTACGATGTCAATACAGCTAGAATGCGAAATTAGCGAAGCATTGCACCGGTTAAAGTCTAATGGATTGCTTTTCTTTACACGCCAACATGTGGATGCAGACTTTAGAATTTTAGAGTAAATCAGTTTTTGCTCCTACAGCATTTCTGCCGTACTATTAAAGGATTTTTCGGGCTCAAGGTTCAAGGCTGAATTAAACAAAGGTTGTAACCTACCTGTGTGCACACGAATATGTCTGACCAAGTCGCTAGGCTTGGAGAACGATGCGCCACACATCTGGCATTTATGCGGCCTCATATCACGGATCACCACCTTTCGCTTTTTCCTCGATGGTTTTATGCCATAGTCCTCATCATCATCACCATCATCATCATCGCCAGTCTCATCTTCATCATCCTCATTCGCCGCTGTCTCACTGAATTGCTCTCTGAAAAAAAACTTTGACTTGCATGAATTTTAATATTACCACTGGCACTATTCACCCTTCACTTCCTCAATCATCCAAAAATTGGGCCCGTTTTTTGACTGACTTTTTCTCCGATGGCTAAGATGTTGGCCACTGCGTTAGTTTGACCTCCTGGCCCGAAAACTCCCGGCGCCCACACAACAGGCGACGGCGCCAAAGTACCCGAACACACCGAATCCGCTTAAAACGTGTTCCTACTGGTAGTCTGACCCTCTGAACCCGAATATCATATTAGATCTGAAACCGCCTGAAGCCTACGACACAAATGATCCATCTTATGCTCGTTCCGCCGCGTGTAGCACGAACTCTAGTCGGATTCGTGACGAGCGGTGTACCTATTAGGGAGGGGTCGAGGAAAGGCGGCCCATCTCTGGTCGCATATATTCCTGTTCGGAAGGTGAAACTGGGACAATTTTTCGCTAAATTTTGGGCTTTAGGGTATCTTGGTGCCGGCGCTTGCGACGCGCGCGCGACGAAGTTCAGGGTTTCGTGCCATATTGATGTGATAATCGTGTCGAAGGGGTCAAACTACCTCGGAAGACAACTTTTTCAACTTTTTAGCCAAGTCCCTGGGAGAAAAGTTAGTTAGAAGCCGGCTTGATTTCGAAAGATTGGGGTAAATAAAGAGTAAATAGTGCCGATCGGACAAAACGGTTATCTCCTTTGCGAGATAGTTTATGATATCGAGTTGCTGTCCTTGCAGGTAGTACTTTCAAGGACTAATGCAGATAGCAGTCGCGAGGGATACGCAAAATAAAAGTTTCGCAGTAGGTATGTTGTCCCGTCGTCTCCAGCGGCTTTCTCGCCAGTGTTTTTCCGGCTAGGTAACGGCAATATTTGCTGAGGAAGAAAAACCAGAGACCTTTCGGCAGCTTCAAGTATGTTCTGAACTTATTGAGCACTGGCTTGCAACCATTCGGTGGGATTCTGCTGGGGAACTTCAATAGCCTTTCACCAGCCCGCTGGCTAATTTCTGACTATCCATTGAGTAGAGCATATTTGCTAACAAGTTCATTACGAGGACCATTAAAGCAACTTTCTTTCGCTCCAGTTGACTGCTTTTTGAACACCTATTCTCCGTGTGAGAACCACTGTATTGTTGTCAACTATTTTGCTATGTGACATTTCTTTCCATTCGCTTCACCTCGTGACCCCTCTATTCGGCAAATACCTTGGTGGACACGGAAAAGCAGCAATATCTCGCGGTTGTGTCACGAAAGGCTTGATCCCACTCGCCGAGTTCGTGCGGAACTCCATCGAAAGACTTCACAAGAAGCAAGGGTAGAAGGGTGATCAACGGTCATCATTGTTCCAGCCAAGTATCGCAGTCCGACAGTGTGTCCGACAAGACAGACTAAACTAGGGTCATTTTGTTTTAAAGACACGATGGTAGCGCTCCAACTTGATTGAGGGTTGTATGCGACTACCAGCCCCCAGCTGTCCGGTAGGGTTCGTGTCCGCCCCGCCAAACTGCACGGTCAAGAGTACGAGGCCGTGGAAAGTCGTAATTCTTGTGGCTACACCGCCCCTCACGGGTTTATGCTAACACCATCCGGCGAAAGCGGCCGCGGTCGCGTGCAGCTCTCTTGGCTTTTTGCCAAGTCCTGTAATTGCGCTTTGGAATACAAGTACAACGCAATTTCTTTATGCGGATAACATTTTAGGTGCTGCAAAATAAGAACCGAAGATGATGACGAGGGCTAGAACTCAAGAGCAACTGTGGTGCTTTTCTGCAATATATCCTCAGAGGCCGCGCATTCCCACAGAGCATGACAATAAAACGGACAACATGACAATAAAACATGACAATACAAGCAAAACGCAATTTCCTAACATTTGAGGTATTGCTCATGCTTCAAAGTCCGAATAGAAGGTGATGAAGATGACAAAGGCTAGAAATGAACAACAACGAATGTAGATGTAAATAAAACAAAATTGAAAAAACTAAGGAAACGCAATAAATTAAAATCGCGTGTGCATTTCTGCGATCCGGCTCGAATCCGGCTCTAAAGCTATAGAAATACTTCAAACTAACGAGTGGGACGCTTTTTAGGCCGTTTTATTGTCATGTAGTCCGGGAAGTGCGCGGCCTCTGAGGGATATTGCAGAAGCAGCACAGTTGCTCTTGAGTTCTAGCCCTCGTCATCATCTTCGGTTCTTATTTTGCAGCACCTAAAATGTTATCCGCATAAAGAAATTGCGTTTACTTGTATTCCAAAGCGCAATTACAGGACTTGGCAAAAAGCCAAGAGAGCTGCACGCGACCGCGCCGCGCGACGGTGTTAGTAAAAACGTGAGTTTGCAAAAACGGGCGGCGTAGCAAGGAATTACGACTTTCCTACGGTCTCGTACTCTGACCCCG